CTCTCTGGGTGCGGCCCTCCAGCCAGTTGGCGACACATCTGATTGTGTGGGGGTCGACACCACAGCCCCCAGTTTCTTAATGAGAACGGGGTGAGAGACAGTGTCAAAGGCCTTCCGAAAGTCCAGGAAGACAACGTCCACTGCTACCCCTGCATCTAAGGATTTGGTGACCTGGTCGTAGAAGGCCACCAGGTTGGTCTGACAGGACCTGCCACTGATGAACCTGTGTTGGTTGCCCCTAAGCACAATCTCCCCCACTGTCCCCTCGTGGACATGTGCCAGGATAACTCTCTCAAAAAGCTTGCCCAGGATTGAGGTAAGACTGACTGGCCTATAGTTTCCTGGGTCCTCCTTCCTCCCCTTTTTGAAGATGGGAACCACATTGGCCTCTTCCAGTCCTCTGGCACCACACCAGAGCACCACAAGTGCTCATACGGCCCTGCCAGGCGTCCTGCAATGACCACAGCCAATTCCTTTAGTACTCTAGGGTGGAGATCGTCTGATCCTGCTGATTTAAATATGTCCAGTCCCTCCAGACACTCCCTAACTAGATCCTCCCTGACCCTTGGCCTGGGTGCGCCTCCCCTGGGGCCTGAGGGGGGCCCGGTGGGGGCGGTGATCCAGTCCCTGCTCAGGAACTGATGTGATGATGGCTTCCAGTAAAGTTAGACCCACGTAATTAAAACCTGGAGGTAGGAAATAGTCTCCTTTAGTTTCTACTGCTGAGATCCACTCAAGGGATAAGTTAAAAATTGAGAAAATACTCACATAATGACAGCTTTAATGTCCTAATCACATCTAAACATGTTTTTTTCCAAAAGAAGCAATACAAAATACAACGACAGAACATAACTTGCTCCTGTGTCCTGCCTATGTGGGAAAATCCTGTTGAGAAGAATTGTACCTAAGTTACTGGCAATGATACAGCATTTCTACAGCTGCAGGGGAAGTGCTCTGTGCTGAAGCAAGAGAACGACCATCCAGCCAGTTGGGGGAGGGAAAGAGAGAGGAAAAGAAAAGGAGATTAATTTATGCACTCCTCCAAAGCAATGGGAGAAAATTCCAAAGTTCAGCAGCTCCTTCAGGATACAAGAACAGCAGAATAAAGCTCACATAAGTCTCTCTCTATTCTTTCTGCAAGCATTGCCAGAGAAGTGCTACGAGCACTTGCTATGAGCACATGACGCACCTTTAGCAGTCAGAGCAGTGATAGATTAATGGCAAAACTTTTTTAAACAACAGACAGAAAAAAAAAAATGACCTAGAGCTTCATGAGACTAGAGAAAATGGAAGGAGCCTGCTGGAAAGGAAGCAGCTCAAGGAACCAGTATGCCTTTGGGGAATATCTTTTACCACAATGGCCCAATAGCCTAGTGGTGGAATTATTTTAGAATTGAGGACCAAATCCCTCACTTATTCCAGAGGCCCCCAAAGCAGTGAACACATTTGAACGGTGCTGTAAGGGTGCTCACTTGCTCTCTAGTGATGACCTCACGACACCTAATGGATGTCAACAAACCGAGGAACAAGTGATCATGTTCTCAGCCAAAGGGAGAGGCAATGCACAGCCACAGGGGGTATGCCCCCATGAGTGGGAACATCCATTTTCCTGGGCACAAATACCAGCAGCACATATCTGTGCCACTGCTAGGTGCCCCCAGGCATGCATGCCCCTGTACATGTGCACTGGCATTCAGCAAATTGACCTCGGTGCAGTAGGGGAGGCTGAAGCCAGCACCTGGGATGGTCCCAGCTGCCTTACCTGGGGTCCTGGGGGGTCTCCCAGAGCTGCAGCAGTGGCAATCTGGGCACACATAGTCAGCAGCCAGAGCGTGGCTCTGATCAGCCAGGCTCCAGTTTCAGGTGCCACACACTCCAGCCATGTGCACTGCCCCGCTTTTTTTGGTGTATTTAACAAAGTTGGGGGGTTTTTTGACACCAGGAAAAAAAATGCTGCACTGCTAATATGTAGCTCAGTGAATATATGTATGTGTGGTTTGCGGTGCTGCAACAGGTTTGCAGCACCGCAAATTGCACGCGCATACTTGTGGGGACACACCCAGGAAAGGAAACATTTAGGAGAGAATTCTTGAGAACTTAAAAAAAACCAGAAGAAAGGAAGGAACAAAAGCAGAACAGTCAGTGTTGGCATGATGTGTGATTGGAAAATCAAAGGAAGACAGAAAAAGATGGGAGGCTGAGAAAATGGCACATAGAACTAGAAAGAAGAGAAGCTCAGTGACTTCACAAAGGATTTTTTCCCCTTGATCAGACTGGCATACATTGGCTTTTGCCTTTACCCATGCCTTTTCCTAGCTTATTCTATTAACCAACTAATACATCATCATTACAGTAGCAGGGGAGCATGATCTCCTCACTCTTGCTTTTACCTACAGGCTGTTATATGGTGTTCTTACTGTTTTAGACATTGTGCCTGGTAGTTGTGTAGAGGGTTTGAAGTGACAATTTCCAAAATTTCTCTCAAGTCCCCTCTGCAAGCACATAGGACTAAGCCTTGATGGCCTAGCAAGCCTACACTCCTTTGCTGTTTCACCAGCAGCCATGCAAACAAACGCACATAAAAGAAGAAATATCATCAGTGAAATATGACGGGATCAAAAACTGAATAGTATTGTACTGTATTAAATGGGCGTTGGGGGCTGGAACACTGAAAAGAGGAAACCTGTGCTTTCTCGACCTCTTGAAGGCTCAGATCGAGCATAGCCTATGCTTGCTTGGCAAGGGAAACACTGTGACCAGAGGCGGTCTTCCTAGTTACACCTGGGGAAAACCACTCTCCTGGCACGGGGGATAGTACCTGCCAAGGTAAGGTAGAGTAAACCTCCCGCTTAGCTGCTGGAGTGGGAACATCTTGGCTTTAAGCTGACTTTATGGACATGGGAGATGCCTCCCTGGCTTGCCCCTAGCGCCTTATGGCTGAGGGAAGCAAAATTCAGGGGCATCCGGACTTGGGCCTGCACATAGTATGCCCACCAAAGGTTTTGCAAACATCTGAAGCCCCAGGTTTACCAGTTGTAGGGCCATGTATGGTTCTGGAATTAGTTTTGGCTAATTTGGTCTGGGATATATAAAATTAAAAAAAAATTTTAAATCCCTGTGCTTTCATGGGTTTTGGGGGGGAACCTGCTCACATGACTCTTTCAAATATTCTTGTAGCCCACTTCTGAGTTGCAACCCACCAGCTGAAAAATGCTGTAATAACAGATATCGCATCTACCCAAAGAACCTTGCCTGCCTGTGTCATCAATCAAGAGACCAACACAGCTACAACCAATAACCTAAAGTATCCTGCATAGATCCTGCCCTTGGCAGATACCCTCCCCCTGGATCCCGCACAGGGCAGATGTGGCAAGAAAGGAAGTGCACCATCCACATGCAAATTGTGGGTGGGTGAGGACAGCCATATGCAGATAGGTGTGGCAGGGGTATGCAGCAGTTATGGGGGGGGTGCAGAATGCAGAGCAGGGCAGTATAGGAGGAGCCTGCGTTCAAATTATGGAGGGGGACGGCAGCAGTGGATTTCTATGCTTGCCCTCACGTGCCCGTCAGTGCAGAGGGGCAGTGCAGTGCCTTACCAAATTTCTGTACTTCTTGAGCAGGCATTTTCTGTGTAAGGCAATAAAGAAGTTTACCTTTTTTCTCTGCACATTAAACATGCTTGCTGGAAGTGATTTCTGGTTTCCAGTGTTTCAAGCTGCCTACAGCATGATCCTAGCATGATTTTGACATATTCTGCCTGGTTTGTGAAACAGGGGGAGGTGCCTGGGGTATGGTAGGTATGTTTATACAAATCAGGGATGGAGGTGAGGACAAGGGAAGAGACAGCACTGCATTTATTCATCAAAAAGTATGGCTTTCTAAACTGCAAGAACCAGGGCCCCCAAGGAATGGTAAGACAACTAATTTAACATGAATGCCCCCCCGCCCCCTCCAAAAAATCCTGCAACCTCCCTCCCCACCACACTTCTATGTGAAGGCAGAAGGCAAACTACACAAAGCTCCTCCCTTCATACCACGCTCTCCCACAGCTGACTCCCCAGGCCCAATGGGTAGCAGCAGCGGGGTTTATATTCCCCCCAGGGCGAGCAGGCCCTTCCTTTCCTTTTTTTCAAATTTTTTACTAGATTCTCTTCCTCTGCACCCTGAACACTTTCATGAAGGGAGGCAGGTGCTTCAGGACTAAAATTATAAATTAAGACAGCGGCTGTAAAATAAGTGTCACCAAGAGATGTGGACTCCCATTTTGGGTCTCATGAATGTCAGCCCTTATACCAGCTAGTGGCTTTGGCTCTCTATTCAGACAGAGACAACATCACTGGGTTGGCCCATTTCTGCTCAATTCAGACTTCTGACCAGATGACTCCATGGAGGTACTAGGAAAACAAAACCCAGGGCTGGAAAACCCTCAACAAGGAGTAATTCCCACATACAGCTGGAAAGCAAAACTTCTCCAGACTGCATAGAGCAAAGAAGAGTCTCCACAAAAAGATGGTCTTTTATCATTTTATTATGAGACTTCCACTGGCTGCAGTCAAGCTTCTCATTCCAGGTGCTGACAAACCCTACAAGCAATAAAAAAGGGCTTTATCACAGTAGTGAACTTATTTAATAACCACAGTAACCCAAGATAATCCTGCCTGCTTGAAACCAGTTACAAACCAGGCTAAAGAGTGCTACTCAGAATACATGACAGTGCTAGTTTAACAGATGGGTCAGAGGCCCAGAGATGGAGTGATCTGCCCATGGTCACACAGGACTTGAAGGTCAGAAAAGACCTGAAGGTTTCTCAAATGCTAGGCTAATAAGGCCCATCTTTTATCACCGCCTGAAAAGTGAAACCAACATAAGGTCTTTCCCTCCCTGCAGTCACACTAGTGGGAAAGTGTCAAATTGCATCTAAATCCATTCAGTTCATTTTAAAACTAGAAGAATCCAGAACACAGAGTCGCTAAATACCAAACACACATACTCAGATGATTCCTACACAGGGAGCTGGGCCTGTGTCTATAAACAGGCAGGTTACTCCAAATATCTGGGGCATAAAAAGACAAAGGGAGTGCTGGGATAACAGCAGGGCTCTCCAGGAGCCATAACTCAGCATGTACCATTACCAGACTCGACCTCCCTACTTGCACACCAGGCTACTAAGAGGCCTAATAACCCTTCTCAGACAAATGCCTCCAAGTCATCAGCAGAGGACTCCGACTCAAAGTCCAGACACCCATGATACAGAATGTAACATGGAGAAGGACAATGGGCTGAGGATCTCTCCTTTCAGACTCGTCATCTCATCCTCACTGAAGGGCTGGAACGACCCAATTCAGACCACAGCAGTGCCAGGGAGATGCATGGCTCTCTCTACACGAGTTTAATATGTTTGTTATCTATTGTCTTGACTTCCCATTCCAGCACGTGCTTAGGGCCATGCCTTAACTACTTTCGCTGGCTGCCTCTTAGAAACAGAAGAGAAATACAGAGGGAAGGACACCTCCTTGCTCCTCAAGGCAGAGATACTATCTAAACAGGCCAGCCATGGTGCTTTTACAGTGAAGTGTGTTTCTCTACTAATTTATGGTCAGATTAAGTCACAAACTACCAACACTGCTTATTTCCAAAGTAACAAAGCAGTTGATTTTACTTCATCCTGGTGAAAATTTTCAGTGGCCACTATCAAATTCTCTGGATGAAGACTGGGAGCTCTGACTGAAGTGATCAGAGCTAAACATCCTTTACCGTTGATATGACCGATAAACTTTATCACTATATTTGATTTTTACTGTGTCAATTGTGGATCTATGCACAACATTTTTATAGATTCACGATCTGATTTATCACCATACTTGTACTTGATTATGTTAATTCTAGGAGTAGGAATAATGCTTGGCCTTAATTTATTATTATTATACACAATATTATTATTAGGCCCTAATGGTTGGCCCCATTTTACAATTATATTTGCATCTCTGTTATTTTTGCTTAAAATTTATATTATAGTTGTATGTCTGTCTGTTACATTGTTTTCCAGAACATGGCTTTTAGCCAGAATCCTTAAATCAATTGAAATCGAATAAAAATTGGGGGCTCGGATAATTCACCCAATTCTTTCTTCCCAATCTGTCGTTTTATGCCTCAACACAGAGCTGTCCAACTTCCAGGCATGCATGGCCAAAGGTCCTATGGGCTGCATCAGGGGAAGCCATGGGTTCTTGGGAACCTCCCCCTTCCCCAAATGCTCCCAGGCTCACCTTGAGCTCCACCAGCCACAGCCTCTGAGACAGAGGCAGGCAGTGAAATACTGAGGGGGAGAGAGCATGGAGACTCCAGCCGCAGCCAAAACTGATGGGGCAAGTCATGACCAGGCAGGAGCCCAGGAGCTACAACTTAACCCCTCATGGACCACCAGTTGGGCAACCCTGTCTCAAAGCAGTTGTTTTTTCCTAACATGGGCCATAAAAGTTTCCAGCGTGTATCACATTAGTTCTTGGCATTTCAGAATAAAGTCACTTACCCCTAGGCTGTGGGAACTGGCTGAGGCATAGCTGGCTGTTCTGGTTTGCTACCTTTCTGCTCCGAGATGGGTGTGGTGGGCAAGATCTCTTCTTTGGGTTCCACAATGCTGACATGGTCTGGCAGGGGCTTCTTGGGGCCAATCTTCCCACTTGGGTCCCAAGGCAGCATGATCTTTACTTTGATACCCAGCACACCTGGAGAACAGTTCAGGAAAGAAACAGGAGGTCAATGGCAGGCATATGGCCCCCTACAATAGGCCCCAACTGCTAACACTGCTTGTTCAGTGGCCATTTCCAACTTTCTAGTGAACACCTAAGAAGCAGACTGGTAAAACACATCCCATAAGACAGAATCTAAATTATGGCCCATTAGTCAACCTGTGCTCTAGGTCTCAAATCAGCATTAACATTGTATCCTGCTGTATTTACTTTCTTCCATTCTGTATCTTCACTCTGTTTAGTCATTGCCAACAGCATCATTTCATGCCCCACACTGAAACATCCTGAAAAATAACCAAATTAAAACCCCACCTTCTACACTGAGAGCACCTGGCTGGACAGCTAAAAGAATCTGCTTTCTGTATCCCTTCTCAGACAAATGCCTCTAAATCATTCAAGGAACAGGACAACCTGTGAAGGCATCCCAAGCACTGCACCACAGAACGTGGCACAGAACGAGTGATGTTTCGACAGGAGTGTCCTTTCTGACTCGTCATCGTATCATCACTGAAGGGATATCAGTCCGCTTTTACAGAGCTCCTGGCAGGCCAATGGCTCTACAGGGGTAATTCTATTTGTAAGGGCAAGTCTTTCCCCTCCTTTCACCATAAAGAAGGGAGAGGTAGTTTTGTCTGCTGTTTTTTCTCTAGTTCTTGACAGACTAGAAATATCAGGTGAGAGTGCTCAGCTGTTTTTTTTTCTTTTTTTTAATAAAATAAACTCAATATAGGATCTTCCCCCAACATTGCCAGGTATGCAACTTAAGTAGAAACAAGACATTTCAAAACACTGCCCAAAATTCCTCTTCCTTCCAGTAACTCGAACTAATTCCATTACCTCCTCAGTCATCTAAAGCGCACTTTCAATGCGTTTGCTCAGACTTCTTTTGTGATTCTGAGAAAATGCCAGAGGCTGCAAAACATTGGGTCACTGCATGGAAACATTACAACTAGAGGCGCACCGATACAGTGGTCTGATATTGGATTGGCACTGATATAAAGAAAATTGGCTGTATTGGACAGATCAGCCTGATGCAGCTGATAATTTGGCTGATAAATGTCAGTGAGCGTGTGCAGCTGCAGCTCTTCTGGGCAGGGGCTGGGCTATGCTCGGGAAAGGCAGTGGCAGTGCTGGGAAGGGGGCAATCAGGGAGGCATTGATCTGCCCCTCCACGCCCCTTCCACCACAACACACCAGCTGCATGCAGCTGTATCGGAAATCAGATTGGCATCAGTCGACATGCCTCCTTAAAAAAAAAATTGGTTATGGATATCAGCCCCCAAAATCTCTACCAGTGCAGCCGTAGTTGCAATGTTCCAGGAAAAGTGCGAACAGAACACCATGGCCTATATGACATAAAATACAAATGATTAAGAACCTTGGTCTTGAAACCATAAAGGGGCTAAGCACAATGAAGAAAACACACTCAAGAGGCTAGCAGCAGTCAGAGTGGAACGCTTTGCAGAACAGGTAACGTGCTAAGATAGTAGAAGCAGCCAGTTCCCCCATTCAACTAGAGGAACAGGCAAGCAGCAGCTAAGACTTTTCAGGCTCTGAAGCACTATTATAGGAAGCTGCAAAGGGGATACAAACTCCCAAGTACTCACCCTGCCTGAGAAGGACGTGGCGCACGGCTGTATCAACGTAGTAGTTTACAGGGTCTCCACTGTGGATCATCAGGCCATCCACAAACTTCATGGACTTGGCTCGCTGGCCTCTGAGCTTGCCAGACACAACCACCTCGCAACCCTTGGCACCGCTCTCCATGATGAAGCGGAGGACACCATAGCAGGCTCTTCAAGGAAATATTCAGTAGGTTATACAGGCTCTTGCCTACCGTTAATGCATGCAATACCACAACTGTGGAATTTGCACCAACTGCTCTGTTGATGAAGTCTTATTTGGAAATAAAGCTCATTCTGCTCTTTGAGAAAGCCTTCCAGATAAGCCAAGGCTGATCAACACAGTGCAGTCTATCCAAAGCCTTCTCTACACTAGACAGGCTGCTGGAAATTTTGCTATAAAGTGGCTGATGTTGCTACCTTAGTTTGAGAGCCCGCAGCATCTTGCACTTCAGTTGCAAGTGTCCCACATGAACAGGGTCTGGCCCAAAGGGCTGTGGGAAACATAAGCAGCAGTACAAATACCTCTCAGAAGGAAACCATGCCTGCCTCTCCCTTCTCAGACAAATGCCTCTAAATCATCCATGGAAGAGGACATTCCTGCTAAGGAATCCAAACACAGCATAACAGAACGTGACACTGAGCAGGATGCCCTTGGCAGGGGAGATCCTTTTCTGACTCGTCATCGTATCATCACTGAAGGGACATGAGAAACAGACCTCAGGGTGTTTGAGACCAATGCTCCACTCTTTGGAATTTACTTTCAGCCTCATTTCTTACCAAGAGGGTCTAATTAGAAGTATTATATATCGGGCTGACACCACAAAAATAAAGTTTATCCTCATCCAGGCAGCTCATTAGAGACCAACTTTAGGAATAAAAGATGGTGTTTAGGATTTTCCTCAACACTACAGACCTGGTTTCAGAACTCAGGCATTCCTAGCCTCATGTCACTTGTCTACCCTACTGCATCTGCGGAATATGCATTATACGTCTTACTTACCGGCGCACTGCTAAGCCTCCCAAAAGTTTGTAGCGCAGTGACTCTGCTTGGGCAATAGCGCACAGACCTCTTGTGGCCACCTTCTCAGCATAGAGCTGCAAAACAGAACAAGGTGCTCAGAAAATGGGGCTGCAACCATTGACAGCTGATGTTGTCCTGCATACAAGCTACCAGAGCTCCATATCAACCTCTGTGCGCCTCTCCATAACACCCAGTAACCCAGTTAGTTCCTGATACTTACACATCTGCAGGATCTTTACCCATAAACACTGCACTGAGGCTTTGAAGGGCTTTGCTGCTTGTCTTCTACTCCTTGCATTGAGGTATCCTAGCGTCATCTGATGGCTCATCAAGACATGCCTAGTGCAGTCCAGGAGGTGCTTCCTACCCAAGCATGCCTAGAGCATCCGGCAGCCTTGGAGATGTAATCTTTCCAGTGTGTCCAAGTTCAGACTACACTGGTGATGTTATCTTCCAAGGGGGGCCTGGAATGCCTGGCAGTGCTTGCAGAAGCAACCTGCAGACACTGCCCGCATGCTGCGATGACTGAAAGCTTAATTTAAAAAAAATCATGGTCAAAGTATGAGGTTGCAAGCAGACTTATTTAGGTAATGCATATGGTGAGCCTGAATGGTGGAGCCATACACTCATCCTAAGGCAGCCTCTTCAAAATCTAAGCTGTTAAGCCTTATGCAGTGTGGAAAATGGACTTGCCTTAACAGATCCCACCAGCTGGCTGTCAATCTAGTCCAGCACTCCCTTCCATATTCAGTACTGGATGCTTCAGAGAAAGGTCCAAAGAACAATGAAGCGGATGGTTGTTGGCAATGCATAGTAGGGGGTGCACACACACCCACTGGAAGCGCCAGCCACAAAACTAGAAGTGCACTCCCAGTTTTGCCGCTGGCTCAGGGATCAGCCACTGCTGACCACCCCCATCAGCGATCTGGTGCCCCCCCCACACTCAGGAGGCACAAATCACCCATGGAGACAGTCATGGGCTAACCCTACTGACCAGGGAAGCTTTCAAAACTCCATAAAAGCTGGATAATTGATGCTCAAGCATTTTAATCCTGGCTAAGTGTAATGCTGAATGATTCTTATTTGTGTAGTACCTATTTATTTAGAATTCAATGAGCTTCAGGCCCCTAAAGTACTACTGTGGGCAAGGCACAGCATTTGACTCCTGAACTATAACACTGAGTTACTTACTCCTGTTAAAGAGCTATAGCAAAAAACCTGCATTGTGTTAGCACTTCAGCCAGGCCAATTTCCATACTCTAGGTCAGGACTGTCTGCCCTACTTTCCGCAAGCAAATGCTCAAGGACACGTCATGGCGGGGTGCTTAGAAGGCAGAAGTGTTAACAAGTGGTCGTGATCACTGTAGCAAATTCGGGAAACAAGGCAACATTCGCAAGGAGAGAAGAGCATTTGCTAATCTTTCAGAACTATAACTAATAGTTGTAGCCATGACAACGGGCAAAACATCTGCCAACAGACACCAGCTTTTCAAATGGGTGCCCTTTAAACTCTTATCCAACCCATCTGAATATAAAGCAATAGCAAGGCCTATTTTAAAGCATCAACAAAACAGAAAAAAAAAAAAAAACTTACCTCAACATTTCCCTCAGGAAAGCCAAACCTCTTCTGCACAACAGCTGTCAGCTCACGGATACGGCGACCTTTTTCACCCAGAACATTCTGAGTTCTGTTAAAAAAAAAAAAATAGACATATTACAACCTGGATTTGAAACTGAACGTATTGCTTTACAGAACGTAACCTAGATCAAAACTGCATTCAATGCCTGTCACTTAACTTCCGTGAATGTCAACAGAATCTGATACATGAAAACCTTTAATGATCTGATCCAAGTGCTAGTGTTTGCTTTAGTCCAGTTTTAGGTACCTGATTCTGATCAGTCACTTATTATTTTTTGAAAGACAATCCTGCTATTTACTCTCATTTCCAGGAAGGTTTTCCTAATAGCCAATAGTCTTCCCATTATTTCTGTTTGCCACTTTCCCAGAGGTGGTCATCCCTGCACTCCCTTTCTGCTACAAAAAGCAGGGTATTTTTTTAAGCCTTACTCAGCAGCACTGGGTGCTGGCTACAGCTAAGGCTGGGGACTCTGGGCATTTATACACATACTTCTTTGTCCTGCAACACCCCGGAGATCCGCTGCTTCGGAACAGACTCGATTAATTGAGTCTGCTCCGCACACAAGCTGAGGCGAACTGTGCTGTGTCACATACAGTTGTGTAAGTGGCAAAATCCACATCAGCGCACAGAAAATGTCAGTGTGCTTTTGAACTATAGCAGCTCCAACGTGTTTTAGTTCGAAAGCGCGCCACCACTATTTTCTCAGTGCTGATGCGTGTTTCGTCGCTTATACAACTGCAAGCATTAGACGAACACCTTGCTGGGCTCGCTTGACCCCAGTACTCTTTCCTGCCATGGCAGGGGGTCGGACTCAATGATCTGCTCAGGTCCCTTCCGACTCTACAAACTATGAAACTACGAAAGCGTCACAGTGCCAAGGACTTTTCAAAGCACTCGGCACTGTAGTGCTTGCATATGTAAAAATGCCCCCTGTGACTGGGCTGTGCCAATGCTCCTGCTGGGACCAAAACCAGAGGCCTGTTCCTGGCTAATCTCGCCCCTCCATTCAGGGTCACACTGATCAGTGTATTTGGGGTCACGAAGGACTTTTACCCCATGCTCAAATTGGTACGGACTGGTGGTGAGGGGAAGAGGTTGCCTTAATTTCTTCTTGCAATTTCTTTTTGCCATCTTCCTAAAGAAATGCAATACACAGACGTTCTGCACACAAGCATCAAACACAACCCTAATCAACATCAAAGAGCTCAAAGCACACTTCCCTCACCTGGTAGCCAGGATGATAATTTCAGTCCTGGTTGGAGTCACTCTGACCTCTACTCCGGAGTACCCATCTTCGGCCAGTTCACGAGTCAGAAACTCATTCAGTTCGGCTTTGAAGATACCATCCGCGACAAACTAGAAAAGGAAACAGACCTGGTCAAACTCTGTTCAACAAAACTGACTGTTGTTTTGCTGGTTCCTGCCCCCACCCCTGCTTTCTGCTACATATGTCAGGGTATTTTTTAAGCCTTCCTCTGGTTACAACCAAAGCCGGGGACTATGACTGGGCTCCAGCTGTGTCAATGCTCCAGCCAGGGCCAGAGCCAGAGGCTCCTGGTTAGAGGGTCTCTCTTGCCCCTCTGCTCAGGATCAGACTAGTCGAATTTGATTGTCGAATTTGGTGTCAGGAAGGCATTTTCCCCTGTGGTCAAACCAGTATAGACTGTGCAGGAAAAGGGTTGCCTTCTCTGTAGCAAGGCCCACGGCCATCTACCTCGGATCCATGGTCAAACCAGTACAGACTGGGCAGGAAGAGGGTTGCCTTCTCTTCAGCAAGGGCCTGGGATCTCTTAAGTGAACACTAACAAAATTTCCACAGAAGCAGGGCATTGACCACCACGGCTCTGCTGCTTTCCCTGCAACAGGTTAGGGTACTAGGTATCAGGGTGAACAGCCTTATGTCCAGTTTAGACTGGACAGGGCTGTTTGAACAGGGGAGGATCTCGCTTCATGCTGGTGGTCGGACCAGACACAACGTCTGCACATCTCTGCCAGCCCCCACTTCTCTATGAAATACTCTCAGTTTAGAAGTCAGTTGAGGAGGCCAGCAGGGCCACCCTGGATCATTGCACTGCTCTCTGCAAAACTTGGGTGGCGATAACCCCGGAAAACACACTACAACCCGTCAGCCTAACTTTAGTAGCAAAACACTCTCTTCCAGCACCGGCTTGCACTCGGGCTGCTCCAGAACAAGTGGCTGTATAACTGCTATTGAACAACGACTTCCTAAACAGCGCTGTCCAAACTGGATTTTAAGGTTCAACTAGCCTCAGAAGACTTCCGGGCTGGAATGACACCCGCAGGGCAGCCCGCACGCGCTCCAGGTTACGTTCCAAACGTAGGACCCAGCTCCTTTGCAACCCGCTTGCTGCTGAAATCGCCCGGCCGCAGGCAGGACCC